TGTGTATAATAATATCTAAATTGTATCGGAGTTTAAACACACATAGAAAATTATTCATTTATTACTCATAGTATAACTTTTAGTGTAAGTATAATTTATTAACGTGCCCTTAGACCTTCGTTTTAACAATACATTCGCTTTGCTGTATTGTCAGTTTTATTTTTTCAGATACATTTTATTTTAAACATTTTCAATAATTCAATAGATTTATTACATTCTATAAGGTGACTAGCTGACGAATTTCTATATTTTCATAATTTTTTTAATTATATTCATTTTTAAGGTTTACGTTATTAAAACATACATTAAGTAACTATTCAGAACCCTTGTAAACATTATAGTTATGTGTAAAGGATATGTGTAAGAAATAATATTATTATAATAATATGAATATAATTATTTTTTAACAATAATATTAGGCAAACGAAGTATAATATAACACAATCCAAAATATTGCTTAAAAGAAACGAATATCTTTTTTTAAATTGTAATACATTTTATTCATTGTTTAATAACTATGTTTTTTCGAGTAATTTTAAGAGTACACAATTTTCACATTTTTAAATTTTAATTAGGAAGTTTCTTAAACAGTCTTAAACCGGTATTATATCTAGGATTATAATGAATTATTTTTAGTGAAATGTAATAAAGCGACGGTGAAATAGCATCATGTCTCAGATGTATTAAACCACATACAAAAATTATGTAGCTTTATATTTAAATATTTATTTAAATAAAAAATGAGTCTGTGGATGCTTGTATCCGGTCACTCCTTATCCGTTTTTAAAGCAAGGAGTTGTTCATTCTTTGCGGCAATATACTAAAATCATTTTTTAATATTCGTTTAAATAAATAATAAGTTGCATGTATTATATTATATGTATTGTTAATTAAGATATTTGGGTAGCTATGACAGTACATTTTTATAGACAGACCCTTATCATCAACCCTTATCGTATCCACCATACACATGACTAAATATTAAATTTTAAGTACATTATTGCTGGTCCCACGGTATCTTCTAAACCGCTATAACTGGTTCGAACACACTATCCACAGATTTGCATCGAAGAGTTTATTTAAAAGTGATGTTATCAATTTCAGTTATAATAAAATCTGTAGACCCGTCCCCACTATGCCCCCACTGTACTGGCTTTTTTTTACAATTATTCGAGCATCCAAATATTAGTTAGTTCATACGTAAGCTCAGGTTTTGTAAAATGTAAGTGTACATTTTTTTTTTTTTGTTAGGAAACCGGCTTATATAACTATTACTGTCAGTCCTTATTTGATAAAAGGTCCCTTAAAATGGTGAATAAAACAGAAAATATTTCAAAATCGGTTTCAAGACTTTTACATTTGCTTAGGACAAAATACTAATAATGAATACTACCTCATTCTCGTTTTTAACATCCTCGGCAATTAACTCCGCGTTATCTCCGGCTATCGGAATACCTGTAAAATGTTTTAATTAGTTACATACGAAATACAGTTAAACAGTTTTTAATGAATACAACAAAAACATGGTCCAGTCGTTTCGTACAAGTGCGGTTTTTCATTTTGATATTTTTAATAATTGTATTAGGCACCACAAATCAATATAAATATGTTATAAGAATAGTTTTTTTCGAAATTTGTGTTATATATATATATACCTTACTATGAAAATCAGTCAATGATTACATACCTGATTGGCGCAAGCGGATTCGCAATCTCCTATCGATAATTTCTTTTTGCTAATATGATATCAAAATATTTAAATAAACACTTTTTTCTATGTTTTATACCTATATTAATATAGTGTTAAGTTTCAAGAATTATTCACTATTAGATTAGATGAAAATACTAATTAACAACTTATACAATAAATAATAGTGTATATAGTTATTAATCTATAGTCAGCGTTGTCAGTTTTTTTGCTCATTATTTAAAAAAAATCTATTTTGAATTGTTTTGCCCACCCAAATAAAAGTTTAGTCCAAAAGATTTCAAACACATTATGACTTATAATAATTACATTTTAAATTTATAATAATGTGTAAAAACCGTTTAAAATAATAAACTTTTTAGTATGTTATTTTATAAAAAAAAATATTAATACACATTTTTTTTATTGTTTAAAATGTATTAGTTTATTAACCTTATTAGTTAGGTTATAATTTTAGTGAAAAGTTAGGGTTTGAATTTTTTGGTGTAGGAATCTGGCTTATATAAACATTACTGTCAACCCTAATTTTATAAAACACTTAAAATGAGTCTGTAGATGCTTGTGTCCGGTCACTTATACTTCTTTTGACAAAGCCAGCACAAAACGGGCGGGACTTGCTTTTTGATTTTGTCTTTAACTCACGGAGTTTTTCATTCCTTGCGGCAATATACTAAAATCATTTTATAAGATTTGTTTCAATAAATAATAAGTTGTATTATATTATAAGTGTAGATGTTTATACATTTTAGCTTCGGTGCGGAAATAGAAGGCTTAACCACTTTATTTTACTCCGAAGTGAAGTTACTAGTTAGTTACAATACTTGACTTGTCAGAATAATAACATTTGTGGTATAATATGGTTATTGATGACTAGTGTTGGTTGCTGCAATTGCAAATACATGAAGCAATATGGTAGAAAGAGTCCTAAAACCCAATGAACTAAAACTAAAAACACATACGATATATATTTAATGTTTAACTACTATAACTATAATAAAATAACAAGTTTTTAATATATCGTGATAGCCGATGGGTAGGTTAGGCCTAAACTAATTGAACACTAAATTTATGTATTTAGTAAAAAATACTGTAGTTTTACTCCGTGGCTTACGCTAACTGACCACGTACAAATTAGTTAAATTCTCTATGTTAAGTTACTTTTGGCCAGATCATAAACACTACAATTTTAGCCAGAAACTTGATTGTACATAATTTTTTAATATCCTTGGCTTATGCTGTAACTGGAAGCTCCATCTAATATTTTTTTTTAAATTATAATTCCACAACTAATCTAAATGTACTCGGTACTTCAACGAGACATGAAAATGCTCTTTCGTGGTTGCAGACTCGGCTGAAAAACTTTTTCGGTTATGTGCCATAGCTAATTCCCACCCTCAACCACATTCTGACCCCCCCCCCTCATCTTCATGCCCATTTATTTGGTAACACTTTTTTCATAATGCTTTTTTCGGTTATTTGCCACATTATGCTTATACTCTACTGTACTAGTCCTCTCGGATAAAATCACTTTCAAATAAACGCTTTGATGCTCATTTGTAAATACAGAACCTTAATTTAAAACTTTCCAACTTTGCTGGTTTATACTGTTTTATGACTCAAGTGATTTTGATCACTTTCAGATTTAAAAATTCCTGTAAACCTGTGACCACCTCGTCCCCACTATGCCCCGACCCTGCTGCACTGGTTTTTTTCTCTTACATTCTCTCTTTTAATATTTTCAATAGTAATTTAGAAGCACGAGTCATTGAGATTAGCGTTTGATATTGTTTACAGGTTTTACTCGAGGTTTTCTCGGTGTGTCACTAATACACTGATAGACTAGTCCAATGATTCCATTCCTAGAGCATATATGTATATATCCTATGTTAATAGTATAAAGCATTTGTAAAATAAAAAAACAACGTCGAAAAGGGATTACAGGTGTCATAATAAGAAAAAAACACTTTTTAGAATATTTTCTTAAATTTTTTATTTTTGTGAAATTTTACATAGGTAATGTGACTCAAAACCCAAATGTAAACATAAAAGATAAATATGTAAAGAAGTAATTCGTAGTTGCAGATTCATCTGGAAAATGGCTGATTTTTTCGTAGTGTTTTTCCAATTTTTAGTGATCTCACTTTGTATAAAAACATTATTTCAAAAAAAAAAAAGATAAACATTTCTCATTGAACCCTATGAGATACTGAGTGGTTCATGATAAAATAATCACTCTGTAAATAAAACTGAACCTAAAAAAAATATCCTCGCTTCCAAAGAAGTTGCACATACCAACGTTTGTGTGTGTGTAATTTATGTCAATGTTAACAAACGTGTATTGAGCTCATAAAAAATTATTTAGTTCTGCAAAAAATCATGTTACATATCAATTCAACAAGATTTTTTTTCCTGATTTCAGACCGGAAATTATTTGCTTCATTAGACATTTTTTTAATGAGATACGAGTTCTATTTCTAATACTCGTGTTTTATTAGATTACAGATTTTTATGCAAATTTACAGGGGAAATTGACTGATATAAAAAAAAAAAAAATTATCAGCGAAACCCTTTTAATTCCGATCATTTCTTCAATCGTTGGAATAATTATAAGTATGCATTACCAACAATATAAATCACCGTTATATAGACTACCTCGAACTATTGGTTTGTAGACATACCATTGTAATAATTGTTATGATATTGTCTTATATTTTATTATATCTAAAAAAGAGCTTGTATTGAAATTCGTGAAAAAAGTTGTGTTTTTCCATTTTCCATATCCTACAAGTTTTCACTGTAATTTTAGTAGTCATAAAAAAAAAATTGAAAAAAGCAAACTAATCATAGAGATATAGAATAAACAATTTGTTGTGTATCCTTCTTGTGAGGGTGGGGATGGGGTTGGGAATGGGGATGAGGATGTTACGTTTTTTAAATAATGTGTTGTTTTCACAACGAACAAACTTGAATGAACGGGGGTTATATTGATTCAAAATAACCAAGTGAATGTTTTGCCAACAAAATCGATTAAGGCCAATTATTAAAAAACCACTGAAAAACTCTTGGCTACAACATAAAATTAATCATCACTTACCTTTCGGAGATTAATGCACTTGCAAGAAAACAACAAAAAAATACTTGAAAATCTGACTAGATAAGATTTTTGAAAACCTTACCTAACAGTAAAAAATGGATTTTCGCAAGGTATATTTAATATAAATGAAAACTCACTTCGCTACACGTATTAGATGTTATAATAACACATATATATATATATATAAACTATGTAATATTATATACACGCGTCGTAATAATTGTAACACAATATAAATTTTGTTTTTTTTTTTTTAGTTTACCAGCGAGGTTAAACGTGTAGAAAAATAATACTAAAATTAATAATTTGTAATATATTGTAACAACAATTATCGTTCTATGTTAAAGTATTGTTTTATTTTCAATGCTAGCAAAATCCGACACAGCCTTTTGAGTTTTTAGGTTCAGGTGCTCTTTTTGACGATTCGGGATGGACTTTTATTATTAAGTGCACTTCACATTATTCGGCGATTGTTATTAATATATATACCTAACAGAAATATTCTTAAAAATAACCAAAATGTAGGTTACCTTAACAGGACGGTACCCCGAAAAACGTTGGCTTTGGAACTGAATTGAAAATCGACAACGACAACAATATTATAGTAATGACAATTATTGGGCGTACATTAAACATAGATACAAATAACTCTGATAAATTCACTATTAACGCGACGGTATTTTATAACAGCAACAATTATTATGATAACGGTCGAGGAACTTGAAAAAATTAATCCGAATTAAATGTAAAAAATTAAAACTTTTGGGTTAGGCTCTTTGTATTGTGTAGTGTAACAGCAATGCCATTGCTAAACATAACGTGAATTTTTTAATAGGTAATTCTTACGTTGATTGCACGTCTTATTTCCAATTTTCGGCTGAAGAGTTCCTCGACAGGTTAGGTCATTTTATTGTCTATTACTGTTGTAAATATAATATCCGCGTAAAATTGATTGTGCTCACGGGAGAATGGGGAAGAGATTAGGACGCGCGACCGAAATGGATTTAGTTGGTACCGCTGTTTGCAGTGTGTGTTGATAAGGTTGGTCGCACCGCACCCCCTAACCTTGGCGCCTGCGCGTCAAACACCGCCCCACCCTCCCGTATTTGCTCAATGTTAAGACACGAAAGGTAACTCTAAGACGTTCGGATGAAAATGATATAATCGAGAAAAGGACAAGGTCCGGTGTCATCTGGTCGAGTTGTTCCCGCCGTTGGTGGACGAAGACGGTTGGAACAGACCGGCGAAAAGCCGTCGACCGCCACCGCCGCCGTTGCCTTCCCCTCCGCTACTTCCCCAGCCGGCGAACGAGCTCAACGACCTCAGCGAAGAAGACGCGGTCTTCTTGGTTTCGCCACCTCCCCCGCCGCCGCCATCTTGGTCGCCGCCGTTGCCCAGGAAGTCCATGGACGAGTAGCTCGTGCAGTAGTCTTGCTGTTGACTGCTCATCGAATAGCCGCCGCCGTTGGGACAGTTGGGGTTCTGAACACCGAGCAACTTGCGCCTCATCTGCTCGTCCAGCAGCGATTGCATGTCCATCTGTCAACGTTAAAACAGTATTGTCAATGGTGATATTCACTTCTTCTCTGACCAAACCACCCAAAGAAACAGCTCCTGCGATTCCCAACTCCCTCTCTGCTATTAAGCCAAAAACCATAATGTATAAACCTATCATCTTTAAATTCCTCTACTGATATTGAGAGACCTTGCCTTGAGAACAAGATGGTCAAGTTGAACGATGAAAGAGAACAGATTGAGTTGGTTTTGGACTCGTGGAAAGCAACGTAACCTAACCTAACATCAGATGTCTTAGGTTAATCTCGACCTAACCAAAGTGTTCATCGACCTAATCCAACCAAACCGACCTGCTATAGGCTAGTCATTCCACATATCATCATCTCGTTTAAGCTTCTCTCACCCACCTCTCTTGCACAATGCCCAACACGTGTCCAGCACAACATCGGTGTTGAGTTTTTTTTTTCCTAAAGACCTCTCACCTGCCACTGTTCCAACTGTTGGCTGAGTTCCACCTTCTGTCGGATGGCTTCCATCAGTTGACCGTTGGCCTGTAGAACGTCTATTCGGGTCCTGGCCAGTTGCACTTGAGCCGCATTCTTCCTGGAAACCGCTCCGTCGCGGGCTTCCCAAGCTGCCTTGACTATGTCTTCTACGTTGCTCTGCTCCAACACCGCCTGTTTGTCCCGGACGGCGAAATCCTTCTCTTCCCTGGCCGCTTGTAGTTCGGCGTCTCTTACGGACAACTGTGTGAAAAAAAAAACAGAGAAAAAGGTTAGGTTGACCAAAGGCGGTTAGGTTAGGTTAGGTTTCGATTGTTGATAAGGATTATATGTTCCTTAAAAGTGCCGTCGTCTTAGCTCTATTCGTTAGCACCCATATTTTAGTGTGAACTTTTTATTCAAAAGAAAAACCGTTTTATGTGGCTTAAAATTGGCAAATTTTATTTGAAACAAACTCTTCGATAATTCCCTCGTAGACTTTGCATCCTGAACATGTCTCGTGATCAAATGACTTTCTGTTTATTATCTACACTCTAGTCTCATTCATCAGTTGCTACACCCATCCACCGTCTTATCTACACTTATTGTAACCCTGTGTCCCCTTTTCCCCTCGCCCTCGTCTTTGTGTCAGCCATAAGACGTCTACCAAAACGTTTTTAAACTTCAATTGGCAATCCTCGTAGAATAGTACAGTTTTTCAATCCTCTCTCGGTCCTCTAAAAATTGAAAACTTTTTTTTAAAGACAATCAATTAACTTATTACTTTTAAACACTGTACAATACGATTTTACAAAAAAAATAAAAAATAATGTTGGTTTTTCTATCGCTAAATCCGATTTCGGTCTCAGATTTTTTCAAACATGTCAATTGGATTTGTTTACTGTCTCCAAAGTTGTTCAGTCTTTTTTTTGTTGTTTTATAAGTTTGCTCTATTCATCGACTGTGATTATAATATGCTTTAAGAATTAAGTAAATTGTTTTTTAAGACAATATTTCAACAACGGTTATAATTTGAATTTAGCTAGTACATCTTAACTGGTCTCTAACAGATTTGAGTTTTAGATTTCTTAGATAGCCCAGTTGACATAACCAAACACACTACAATGGACATGATTTAAACAAAATTGGTTTTAGAGTGCTAGGAATTATTTAAAACTCAAGAGAATATTGCTAGGAACGTTGCTATGCAGTTTACATGTGTTGATTTGTGTGAATTAAATTGGCAACAAAACAGATTGAAATTAAAATTTTAGGCCACAGTCAAAAAATTTTACAAAACCCCTCATGTTTTCTAAAATATAGCTGCTAGAGGGCTGGAAACTGTTTTAATAGTTGCATACTGTTCTCAGGTAACTTGCTATGCAGTATATATATTGATATGGTAAAAACATTTTTCCTTATTTACCACTTTTATTTTTAAAGCTACTCTCAAAATGCGTATGTTTGTTCATAATTTGCATAATTATTTAGATATATTGAAATATTACAATATTTTTTCTGATCAGTGGACTTAAATTCAAAACCATGACTGAAAATTGATATTTTTTTTATACCTCCGCCTTGTACATGTATTAGATGTTATAGTTTGGTGTTGTATGGTTTATTCACACATCATAAGTACATTTTAATTCCCGTCAAAATGTAACAACATTCGACCAGATAACACATTACACAAAAAATAAGCATAACGTTTCCTGTATAGAAAAAACGCTATAGGTAAGGTTAAACACTAATCTGATACTCTAGTATAAAAAAAAACTCTACGTGATACACCTGTTCAAATTAAATAAGATAATAACAATACATTTTAAAAATATTCAATTTTGCTGCTGTTTAGGTATGGGTATATAATTATATATTGTAATGTTTTTTTTATTTTAATATTTTTCACCTTCACACTTGCAAAGATTTCAAGTTCAACTGTGTGAATCGCCGATTTCATTTTTGACCTGGAACAGGTTTTTTTTTTTTGGAAACTAGTAAACCAGTTAAAAGTGTTACGGCGAAAAACGCTACCACGCTGTCAACGCTAATTATAGATTAGCTCAAGGTCAAGTTGTTGAGGCGTGCGATAAGAGATTACTGATAACGATATCGGCCGATAACACACGAGTGATAAGAGGAAATAAATAATCCCCGGGGATAGGTGAAAGAGGATAAGAAAATCAGCTGATCACGTCCAGCTGTTCCAGGTATTTCCAGATCTAACGTTGGGCTAGAACTAAATGGATTTTCGACTTAAATCAGACCTTTACCGGCGGCCAATGTATACTTTATTTTTAAATACTCACAGCGAGTGTGTTTTTGCAGTGATTGTTGTACCTTAGACGCGTTCCTCGCTCGGACGATGCCACACACATTTGTTCGAAAATCGCAAAAATACCACAAAATAGTTTAATCGACCGTCGTTCAAAACGTCTACCGTTTATTTTATAAATATTTGGAAAAACCCGTACTGGAATCGGCCGGTACGCGGTCTAATCGATTCCGGGGAATTCCCCGGATTTCTACGGTCCGCCATGATGTTTTCCGGAACTATAAATATATACTAAGTTTCGTTCGCCGTAAATTCAAGCGCTTCAAATTTATCACAGATTAGACAAAACCAGATGGGTGCACATGGTCGCGTTTACTGATAACGCCGAAACGCTGCTCAACTCTCAGCGTGACCACGTTCTAGAAATTAAACTATTGTACAAAACAATTTTCCTATACCGTGCTAATATTTTGTGAAAAATATATATATATATGTGTTTATAAGAAATAAATTCAGCGATGCTCAGTCCTGCGACGATAATAAAGATGCGAGTCGTCGAAGAGGGTTTTGTCTAATCCGCGCTAGTATTTCGAATACACAAACAACAAACATTGACAATTGGTACGTTTTTTTTTTTTTTTTTTTAATAGTAGGCATTAACGAGGCAACGATCGAGAACAATTGAATATTTTCTTAAAAAAACCTATCAACGGCCATTTGTTTATCTTCTCGAAACTTACTTCGGAGGTCAACTGGTTGATGTGCTCGTTGCGGCCACGGAGTTCCGTTTGCACAGAATTCAGTTTGTCCCGCAACCGGTCCGCCTCTTCCCGGGTCCTGCTCAGGTCGACCGCGGTCTCTTCTTCGGCCGATTGATTGGCATCGGTTTCGGCGCCACCGGCGCCTATCACCTTGTTCAAACGGCGAACCGCCTCCTTCAGCGAACGCCGTTGCTGTGGGAATGGCAAAAAAATTAAGTCAAAAAAACACACACATCCATTAGTACACGACAAACAGCCATATCCACTGCCTAATATAGTATCTTGGTTACTATGACCGAGATATCCAGGGTAACTTTGGGAAGTACTTAGCATAGCGCTTTTTGGAAATTCCATCCCTAAGGGTCCATGCCTGAATCACAAATTTTTAACTTTAAATACGAAATATTTTTCGTCGCTAACCCAAAATAAACATTTGGTTTATAACCGCGGTACTCGAGCCGTATGGTAAGTGATGATTAATTGTATGTTGCGGTCAAACGTTTTGAATATCTGTTATGGGGTGTTATTATTGATCAGTTCGTGTTTAACAAGCATGCCAGTATTGGTTAGTGCAAAAAAGTCAAAGGTAAGCATTATTTACAGTACACTGAACTTTTATGGAAAAACAATGGTTAACATTTATACACGTTAACAGCATATTGACTTATATACTGTTGTTAATTTATAATTGAAGTCAAAATAATATTGCTAACCTAAACCTAACCTAAACTTAGGAAAATTTTTACAAAGTCATAGCAAACAAACAGATTTATGAAAAAAACAAAAAAAGTTAAGAGTATCCATACTTCATGGAGATACATCAATACATGGATATGTCCTGCAATCTAGTATCTCTAATATCTTATAACTAAATTCACTATCTCTATTAATTCAGCTCCACAATTTTGTTCCATAATCCACAATGACGTCGGCACTGTGACACAAAACGTGACGGACAAATTTTCAGAATGGCCCGTGTCAAATTAAAAATTCAAACGCTAACATTTTTCAAACAATTTTTTGTCTACATATATATTTTATGGACTTGAAAATGTTCGTTTGGCGGCTTTTGTTTATTCGGGTCAAGACTATACTTTTAAGACGGTTGTTCGTTGGCAAATTTGAATTGAAAATTGTCCAAAGTCGCCGAAGAAATTACGGTAGCCAAGATAAGGATACGACGAGTTAAGATGTACCAATAACTAGGCATACATTTTTTTGTTGTCTGTTTTCGATACACGTAATGGAAAAACTGTTGTGACAGACTGTCGGATGCTTTTGTCACTTTGACCACGCACACCACGGATTCGTCCGGAGCCGTTGTAATCAGAACGGAACCGTCGGTGACGAAACCGATTCGGGTATAGCAGGCAGGAGGGGACCGGACGGTCGACAAGTAGGTCGCGTGGTACTCGCTTTTAGCGCGCTGCCACTGTTGTGCACCACGGGCGAAAGCGTCGCTCGCGCGGGGGAGGTTCGACAGGCGTGCATAACGATATTATATATTATTATTATTACTATTAGGTATTATTCGAGAATATCGCTGGCATCATTGTTGCTGGCGCACACCGAACGGAATGCGCGTTGCATAACCAGCGGGGCCGGGAAACGATAGAAAAAAATAATATAATATACTTTGTAGGTCCAGCCCGGCCGAGTGTACTGTTATAGGTGTTATTACTTATTGTTGTTGTTGTTGTTATTATTATTAGGTATTATTATCATTACGAACGGGTGTGTTACAGTTGCTCGTGCAGCTGCTGTAGTAGTTGCGAGTGCGTACCTGATCGTCGTCGGAGGCGTTTTCACCGGCGATTTCCAATTGGCCGCACAGCCGCAACAACTGTCCCGTAACGGATTCTCCGGCCGAAGGACCTTGCGGATCGTCGGCGGCCGGAGAGGCGGTAACGCGGCCTTCGGCCTGGTCGATTTCCATCTGAAGCGACACCGGACCCAAGGACTCTCCGCCGTTTTGGCATTTTTTCGCTTCCTGCAGTTTGGCCGACAGCACGCAGTTGGCCCGGTGCAACTCGTCCAATTGCTTCCTGAGCGAATGGTTCTAAGGGCAAACAAACATATTAAAATCTACAACCCCGTCGCCAAAAATTAGATTAACCTAACCTATCATAACATAACCAAACCTAACCAAACCTAACCAAACCTAACCAAACCTAACCAAACCTAACCAAACCTAACCAAACCTAACCAAACCTAACCAAACCAAACCTAACCAAACATAACCAAACCTAACCAAACCTAACCAAACCACTAACCACAACCTAACCAACCCTAACCCAATCTAACCTTTTTTCTTCCCCAAAAAAATATGTCACACAAGTGACGCATTTTGCAAGAACCCAAACGTGCTACCAAATCAAAAAGCTATTTCTACAGGTATTGATCGAGCACAATTTTGTAGTTATTTTTAGATAATTAATAATTTCTATGCGAAAAATTTAAGATTTTCAAAGATTTATCATTTACATCAAGCAAGTATTGAAAAGTCTATATATATTTTGAAAACTATTGTCAGATAACTCGTTTCAGAATACTGTTAGAATTATTAGAATGAGCGGTTTTCGACAAAATGTTGAGGTGTCCTAAAATTGAATCTTTCGAATCTATCACATTCTCACACGTCACTCGTCCATTAATATTGTCGTTCCCTATTACCTTATTTGGGCTTTATTTGCATCCTCGTTTATCTCCTTTCCAAATCTTCGTCTAATCCTTCCTTATAAATCAAACCCATCTCGATCCGCATTCATTTATAAATAGTGTAAACGTTACTAAATCTCCTCTTTGCACGTGTCTGAGCTCAATAACTCTTACATAGATCATTCAATTGCTAATTGATCCTAATGAGTTAACGATTTTTGTTTTGTACAAAAAGTTAAAACTAACTGAAATAGCGACGACAAAAAAAAGGAAATGGCGTGGAGCATCTAATCTGTATATGATTAAGACCGAATGCACAATCCAAAAAAACTATAAGTAATTTGGTCAGGTCTAATCGTGCCTGGGAAGTTAAGTCTCCTATCTAGGTTAATTTTTTCTTTGGATCAGAATTTATTAGTAGCTCCCAAAAAATTAACAATACATAGACTGTGGCAGTTTGAATTAGACAAACGATATGCTAAAAATAAATTAAATATAAGTTAAAAGTAAACAGAAAAAACATTAGTGCACTCAAATTGTTAGCGCCACTGTGGTGGAAATAATAGAACATTATCGGGGGTCACGTTTAATGATAGGGTAGCCCAAGACTCGTTTAAAATGCTTTCCAAGGTCGGAAAAAATGTCTTGTTCTTATATTTTTCAAATCAATAATGTCAACACTATAAACGAAAGTATTTACTAAATATTGTAGTACAAATTTACCAAAGTAATTTGTTTGTTGGTAAATGTTTTTTTTTTTTTAAGATTTCGTTTAATTTAATTCATTTTTTTTTAAGTAGTTGTTGACGCAACAACTGAAATTTTACATGTTCTCAAAAGTGTGTTAATGGATCTACTTGTGGGTTGTAGTACAACGGTTTAATACACTCACGCGTTTTAGTGAATAATTACCTAGTGGTTTATTGTTTCAATTACTAGTTTTCATGTCGGTAACTATATTGCTATTTTAATTTGAGGAAACGCATTAAATTTCTTTGTGTATAATATTAGCATATATATATATATATGTATATTAAGGTCAAGGATATAATAAGAAGTAGTCGGCTGAATGTGCGTTCGTGCATATCTGGTATATAATGCGAAATGATTTTTTTGTTTCAACCAAAGAGCGATAGTTTATTTAAACTTTGTTATGTATGATTTATCACACAAACATTACGCCTAAATTTATATATTAAATTTAAAAAAAATTGTTCACTTAATACAGATATTACTAACATTACTTTAATCATAGTAATGTATAGTCATTTTAATTATATCGCTTATTTACAAAACCTTTAGAGACACTAATGAAGTATTCTACACAAAATAATGTTTTTTTAGTAGACATAAAAGATAACGAGCAATGCACTACAAGTAGAAAATTTGTTAGGTGTAAAAAATTTGTTAAAAAAAATTATATTATATTTATCGACGTTCGAATGGGTTATTCAAGTGTGCATTTCCTCGTCTTGAGAACCCGCAAAATATCTAACGTTCAATAACTTTTTTTTGGGACGGATTATTAGTCACACTAGACAATGCATGTACTTCATCTATATCTTCAGCAGATTAAACACGTCATACTAGTGGTGTGTCTGAATAATATTATAACGCACAGATAGATATTAATACATCGTCAACGACTCAGAATTCAGATTCGTTTGTCATTTCGAATACCGTTTACTATTCTTCTTATCTTTGCCACTATGTTATTGTTGTAGAAGAAAAAAAAACCGTTATACAAGGTCTTTGTCCAATGTTTGTCGTAGGATCGATAGCAATATTTCGTTCAGTACTAAGATTAAACTGTAATAATGTTATTGTTTAGACAAATTCTTTTTATAACAATTTCGATAAGATAAGATCAATAATTATTATTCCTAATAAGGTTTTTTTTAATGAGGGTATATAAAGAGCAATAATAAGTAAGCAAACAGTGCCAGTATGAGCCCAAGATTATGAATTGATAATGTCTGTTGTAACGGTTATTCGTACGATGGCATTTTGTAACACAGCAAATTGTTCCACTTTAATTTTGTCATTAAATGAAAATTAAAGGAATCGACGATAATGTCTTGAATTCAAACGGAAAAGATTATTAAAGTGTCGTTAAATTTTTACTTATATATAATTCCTCAATATATTAGTCGGTGTTCTTTAAATGTTAGTCTAAAATGGAGTAGTTTCGGAGAATCATAGTAGGATTCACAGGCTTTAGGGGATAACCAGATATGTCTTCTTCTATCAACCTTCCATGAGAACCTTCTTGTTCTTCTCGCTCGTCTGATTACCTATTTGTCAACATATCACCCTATCGACTATCATCTATCTCGACACACGCTTATCTCCTAAAATTTTAACATGGATATGTTTTTTTGGCGGGGGCCTATCTGGGATGAGCATCATCAATTAAAAAGTTACACTGTAGGATAGATCAGGGAGGAAAAACAGGGAGGGGAGGGACATTTATCAAATTTAAGACATGATTCAATGTTTTTCCTTTTTTTTTTTTTTAACTGACTTTATCATTAACACCACTTCTGCTTGTAAACTCTACTACTGACACCACTACACCGTAAAGCCAAATCAAACGTTATGCTCAGTCTTCCATTTCGTTCAATCCACATTAGTCGTGTAGAACTCAATGCTTCAGTCTACTACTACTGCTAAGTCTGTGATACAACTCGGGAATGTCTCGGGATTGAAAACGCTAAACTAGTCGCCAAACATTCTTACCTTGATTTCATGTTCCCGGCACTCGCGTTCCACACAACGGACCCTGTCCAAGGCTTCTTCTAGCGCAGCAGCCAGTTGGTCGCGATCCGCCTGGACCGCGTGAACTCTCCTCTCCAGTTCCTGTTTTTTTTCCGCTGTGAACTGGATCTGTAACACGAGAGGAGCATTAAATCAAATGCACGGAGTGTCGTCCGGGATAGGCTTTGTCGAGCCAATCCCACAGTGGGAAACGGGCAAACGTCCAGAATCATGCTCACTTCTTCCCGGAGTACGTCCAAGCTGGACTGGTGATCGTGCAGCGACCATTTTTTCTGGGAACACTGGTCCTGCAGTTGGCGGCATTGGGCTTGCAGGTCGTGCTCCGCTTTGGATAGCTACAAGCAAACAAATTCGATTAACCCGAAGCGCTAGGGTACGGCGCAATCACACTGTGTACGGACCTCTTTGATTTGCGTCTGGAGACGATGGTTCTGCTCGGTGAGTTCGGACACAAGTCGGGCCTTTTCCTTCTCGGTTTGCCTAAGCTGCCGTTCCCTTTGCGACACGGCCGCTTGCAAGTCTCGGATGTCGGCCTGCAACTCCAACAGACGGGCGTCGGATTCCGTCTGGGCATTTACCAAACGCCTCTTGAGCGAATGCCGATCCTGCTCGATTTCCTGGTGTAAACAAAAAAGAAAACGCTGTTAGATTTTCCCATGAATTAAAACGATTGAAATCAATGTGGACAATGCCCAGTTAGGTTAGGCAGAATTGGAGATTGAGGATTTTATCAGAGTACTTGACACGGTCCACGGCCACAGTATAGCCTAGTACACGAAGTAGAGTAATAATGTGGAGTCTTAATAAAAGAGTACCATTGCCGGTGTATTGAGTTTTTGGAGAGAGCGATTTTTCCATTATTTTTCAAACGCAAAAACTCTGATATTTGAAACCACTAAATCCTAATTATGTATCTTTCGATATTGTAGTTTACAGTTATAGCAAAGAAGTATTATTGTACTAATTGGCTAGAACTCATTTTGTAGTGGTAACTTTTTTCACCACGTTAAATAATATTTTTTCAATTGTTATGACTATTTTATCTTTCAACTGGCATAAAAACATGGGTTTTAAATTATGATAAGCTTTAAAAATGTGCAGTCCAACTCAACATAATTAGTGAATAAAACTAAAACCTATGTCTTACTACTTAGAACTATATTATTCTGAGCTATTCTTAAATATCATCAGGCAGTGACCTAACATCAACAATGCTTACAATGGGTCTAGTTAACCATGGCTGCAATTCGGGTCTGTTTGTCTGACTAGCAGACAAACAGCTCAACTGTGCACCAGACAGCTGCGGTACAGAGGCCGTAGTGATGATGATGATGATGATGAGCAATAATAATAATAATAATAATTAAGGTTTCACACGTTAGGGCGACGGTTATTGTCTTAGTTTCGGGCGTTAAACAATAAAAGCGTTGATTTTTGTGTGTGACAACGCGGCCGGGCAATGGTCGGAGAGCGGTCGTTAGCGTTTGTTCAAACGCATTAAACCGCGTTTTGAATTTCGTGTGACCGTTTCCGAACGAGAGACGGTTTCTCCTGTGCGAACGTATTCCGGAAGCCAAACAACAGAAAATCATATATAAAATTACAAAAAAAAAAAAAAAAATACAATTTATAATTGTTACCCGTTATTTGTAGTGATAAAAATAATAATGGTTCCGCAGTTAGATAATAATAAACGACGTTCTAGATTCTAGTCGTTACAGTTTTTTTTCTTTCTTTCTAGTGCGCTCTCCTTATTTTACTCTCGCGGTTATAATTGCCTATACTTAAAAAAACCTGACCTAACACGACCGTTTAATTATTATTATTATCTTCTCGCGAAAAATCCTCCAACCCAATAATAATACAATATTGGTAATCGGGAATCCCGCGCCGAAAATTCATACACCTATTCTTAGACGAGATAAGCACATTGCAGTTTTTCTTTTTGGAAAAATATTTATAACATTATAAAGTTACTTAGTATTTACCTTTTTTTTTTTTTTTTATTATTTTCAATACATAACATATATTTGTATTAATATGTTTCATTAAAGAGAAATATTACTGTTCAATAAAATGTTTATTTGGGTGTATTACTCAACCGCACTCCGCATCCGTCATATGTTTTAAACTCTATCTATTCTATTTTAATTCTATCCTAAATTTGAACAAAGTTGATACAACTCTATAATTTACCAAAAAACAAATGTAAACTTTTGAAACTGTGTTTTTTTTTCTTTATATTAAAAGTTATAATGGGTAAACTCAGTGCTTAGAGTCATTAAGCGTTTAGGAATTTAGAAGATACAAAAAATAATAAAACTGTATTAAAGAAAGCGTGCTTGTCAAAAAAAGTTGACTGATTGTAATCAAAAAAATTGTATAGCAAAATAAATATTTTCAATATACCTAAATAAAAGTTTTATATATTATAACATATTATAAATTAAAAATGAGAAAAAAATGTATGTCAGTGTAATGTTTAATTTGTTTTTTGTTTAACTATTTTACAAGGCAAGAAAACCAAACTAATAATAATAAAAATAAAACTTGTAAAATATCATCGAAACCTTTTTAAAATTTTATATTTCGTGAAATTTTCAATCATTACAAATGTTTGATAACATTTCTTAGACTACACTGTATTAAAAAAAAGAGTATTTTTCATCATTTTTCGGTCACACTGATTTGAGATTGTTAATTAGTTCGTTTAAATAAATTGGTTTTTTTTTGTTTTTTTTTAGTGCACTATCTGGTTTTATATTTTAATCCCGATGTGTTACATTATAAATAATCGGTCACCCTGTGTTAACAGAGCAATTATTAAAGTTGCCAATGGCGACGTCGGATGAATAAAATCCGAATCTATTATTGACACTCGGGAAACCTGAGAAATATCCTAAAATATTGCCCTTTTTTTCCGAGAAAATAAAGATTAGTCACTGTACATAGTGAAATAATTCCCAGAGATAGCCATGTGATTTTACTGGAGGCCAATTTTCTGGGGACCGTTTATTATTATTCGGCGAATCCGCCAAGTGTAAACAATAAAATATCATGGCGGTTTAACCGTTTTGCACAACACCAAGAAGATAGCAATCTTATTGCCGCCGTGACTGCATGTGTTATCGTCGTGTTTGGGTTTGCCAGAATTATATTAATGATATAAGTAACACTCTTACATATGTATTATTATTATTTTACCATCAGCGATTTCACTTTAAACCGATTTCGCTGACCGATTTAGTTTTGCGTAATGGTGCATTTTCGGAAGATTTTTTTTTTTTTTTTTATTGCTTTGTTAACACAGCGCGCGTAACATTCGGTTTGTGTGTAATTTTTGCTAGTAAATCATCACATCAACAATTTTATTATATGATACACGCGCTATCGCAGTGCCGGACACGAGACATGTGTCGTGTAAGGAAAATAAAATAAACAACGAGATGACTAGAATTTTTAGTTTCTTTTACCACAAAAAAAAGAAGAACCAGATAAAGAATATAAAACAAGTTTTTTCAGTGAAATTATTTACATATTTCGAAACAATACAATAATGTACTATGATATCACACAATGTGTACACATTGTCAGTACAGTTGGTGCTGACATATTATAACATCTGACACTAATATTGTTTTCTCGGTGGTCGTTCTGGGATTTAGTGGTTGAATGGAAATAAAGTAGAAATAATAGGACTAGCCTAGAAATCTGTATAAGAAAATAAATTGTACCTTATAAGAAAAAAATCCTAATTTTCTAAGGCTTTGATTTTGAGTCAAAACTGCAATACTATTTTAAATCTTCCTTGCCATGCCTTCACTACTATAATTCAAGGTTAATCATAATAATATTGTCGTTATATTTTAGTAGGAAACACGAATAGTGCAAATAAATTTAATATTCTCAAGAAGTAATTTCCAAATCTCTGAAAACATATTTTACCTCGGTTAAACGTCCAGAACGTATCTGATAAATGAACACCTCGAGAATTATTGTGTAAATAATTTAATAATATACTACCTACCTATTTAACGAATAGTAAACAAATTTCGAAAACATTTTTTCGAAAACATACTCAAGATATTAGAAATGAAAAAACCTATGTTTTCATAACGTCTTGTATTAAAAAAAAAAAAAAAAAAATAGTCAAACTATAAAAAATCTGATATCGAGATCGGATTCAACGAAAACAAATGATTGTGTGTAAAAATAGGTCAAAATTCGCCGTCAACAAAACCAAATCTAACAATCCGATTTCATATACGAGTAAGCGATTTTAGATTTTGAAAATATATTTTTCTTATGATCATGTTCAATTGGTACGGCCAACCTTCGCGGGTTCGATTACCCTTCAGACTTTTTATTCCCTAAGTTAATATTTCCGGAATTAATTCACTCGAACAACCTTGTGAACAATTTCGGTTTCGATAAGGTGTTATATGCCAGTGCTTTATTATTTTTTTCTCGAGATTAAGCGTTACGATTTTCAGTGGATTTTTGAAGGTGTTCTTAGCTGTTTTTTTTTTTTTTTTGCACGGAAAACGATTTCAATAATTACTAATGCAGCTGAATAGTTACACAGCACACAAATGTGATGGCGATGGGCGTGTGTCGAACATCATAAGCGGGACCATGACTTTGACTATGACCAAAGCCGGATTAACGTGTAGGCGCACAGTAGAGTCTGTCCATATTCAAGGCTATAATAATTATCAGTCAAAGTCAACATGTACATGCCTTGTAATAGATAGGATGACACAAGAATTAGAACTCCGAAGATTCCCCGAAGGGGTTAGGTTAGAGGCTGAAGAATACAATATATTTTTTAGTTTATCCAAACGATATAATAATTGAAATATTGACTCTGATAGAAATTTAGCACAATATATTGTGACAAGAAATTGTGTACAAGACGCGTAAACAATTATTATAGAAGTATTGCCTAATATAAAAAATCCAGATTACAACAAATTTAATTCAAATTTATCAGTTTTGTTTATGCTTGCTTGTGACAACAGCTTCTGTATGAAGAAGTTTTTCCAAATGGTACTAATGGTTTACTATGGTAAAAAAAAATACTATTGCTTGTATTTTTTTATTTACATTAGCAAATTAAGAACACCTATGTCTCGATTTGAAAGAAAAATTCTTGGAAAAATCAATATACAGAATTATGTTGATAAGTTGACAGAAAAAAAAAATTAAAACTAAAAAAAAAATATTTTATGAAGTTTACTAAAACGGATTTTTTTATTGAATTGTTCATTACTAATTTTTAATTTCAATAAATATACAAAAAAGTGCATTAAACAAATTTGTATGCGCCTATTTAGTATTAGTATATTATATTATAATTATATGATTTAAATCGTATGATGAAAATTTATAAGAATGTATGATGTATATATATATAATATATGATATATATATGATAATGTATGATATATATAATTCGTGTTAACACCATTCGATACTTTACTTTTTAATGTGTATACTTATATATAATTTTTTAACGTCACTTTATTGTCCGTAACGCAATTATAAAAAGCCGTTTGGCGTATATTACTAAAGTAAATAAACAAATAAATAATACTATAGATCTTTAGCATATGAA